AAAGGTCTCACCGAAATGAATTAGTCTAAGGTGCATTCCGTTGCACTAGATTTGTAATAGCAAGTTAAGTGAAAACCCATTTATAAATCACAGTTCTGCATCCAATTTGTTTATATGAATTGTAACAAAACTGACGAACAAAGCTGCTAACTACTGGTAGAAAGGCTAATAGCAATTAGTTTAAGTTTTGTTTGTTGTTAACCATAAGTTACACTACAAGGGTACATCTTTGGTATTTACACATTGCGGCATTTGTTAGTACAACAAGTTAGGTATCAGTTGATAAGTACCCAAAATTTCTATTCCCGCCGATTTTGAGATTTGAGCTTGTAAATCGAGCGGAACATTATTGTACTACTGTAGTTTTTGAAGTACGAGTACCTATGCGTTTCAGAATGGAAAAAATATTTTGGAAATTGGTTCGAGGGAATACATTGACACGAAGACAGATAATGTAATTTTAAGAAAATAAAGGTCATAGGTCTGGAGAATGGTCTCTAATCTAATCTAATCAATTTAGCAACTGTTATAAAGCTACTCCATTTGTTCATTTATGAGAACACTGCTGTGGCTGAAAAATTTAAAAGTTGGAAAGATGTTGGAAGTTAAAGATGAAAAACCAATAACGCCAAAAACGGTAATAAAGGCGGCGCTACTGTTGGGTTCACTGATGATACTAGTGCAAGTTGCCGTTGCAATTTATTCATATCGCTTGTTAAAAACGGAAATCAAGAATGACATTCACAGACAAATCGATCTTGTACGTAGTGATCTGCTGAGAGATGTTAGAGAGATTGAATTCAAAGATGTGGATAAGCGAAGATTTGATCGCCCAGACATTTTGGACCGGCGAAAGAGAGGCGACGATGTAAGTTTAACTAAAATCGTCAATCCTTCTTCAAAACTCGGTTAATAATTAATGTAGCAGGGTGATACCGCGCAAATTTGTAAGACAATTGAGCAACACTGTCCACTTAGTGGTCTACCGGGCTTTCCAGGATTGAATGGTTTGCCTGGTCAGAAAGGTGACAGGGGATATCCCGGAGTGGAGGGTCTTAAAGGCGACAAAGGTAAGACCAAATATAAATTGATGAGTTAAACGCAATGTATGCCAGGGGACCCCGGAATGGAGGAACTACCGGGATTGATGGGACGACCTGGAGCACCAGGAAAGTAAGCAAGCGACGCATCATTTTTTGCATGTGGATTACACCTACCTACTTTGAATTTTTATAAAAACATATTAAATATAATTTAAGCAACGTGTTGTTATGTATTTGCCTGCATCTTCACCGAAAATCGACCACTCAGAAATTGTTCGGGAAAACACTTTTGATTCGTAGAATCCAAAACGTCTCGTATTTTGTCGATTGGACCTCTGAATCTAAAGCAAAAAACCAATTTCGAATCATTCAATAGGCTATAACTTTTGATCTAATAGCCCAACGTTCAAACTGTTTGAAGTTATGGATTCTCTACAGTCCAAAATCTATAAAAAAATGTTTTCTCGGTCGACTTGCATGCGCATGCCTTTAACGATACCAAGTAAAATTTTTGAAAATGATGGGGGGGGGGGGGGGGGGTGAACACTTGTTCATGTTATTCTTAATGAAAGGTCTCACTGAAATGAAATTTAGTTAGTTGCCTAAATAAATAAACTAAACATACACGAGTGATACCAGAAATAATGTCTAATAATAAACCTCGTGGAAATCTAAATGAAACTGAAATGAATTAGTTTGTACAAACAATAACTTTTCTGCGCGACTACTTCTGAGATCAGTTGGTGACCGGTGGGAGGAGGGAGGGGGTACAAATTAACTTTATCTTTCATGGTACTGCAATTAAAGGTCTCAACAAAAAGAACTGTTTTCTAGCAACTACCGCCCTAACTTTCTGACTCCTTACCAAAAGAGGGGATTGGGGTGTTGGTGGTGGTGGAATGCAAAAGTGTCTTGACGTCTCGTCAAAAGGGGAATTCTTCGAAAAACAATAAAGTGATTGCTAAGTATAGTTTATTTATTTGTTAATATCGCTTTCAGAAACCTCTTTAGTTGCTCACGTAAGATGGAGTTTATCAAAATACCGAAACTAATTACCGAGTAAAATACATAATTGGCGTAGAGAATAAAAATGTACTTAAATATATTTATCTTGAATTACTTTACAATGACACGAAGGCAGATAATGTCATTTTAAGAAACTAAAGGTCATAGGTCTGGACACTGATCGAATCTCAATATATCAACAGTTATAAGCTACTCAATTTGTTCATTTATGTGAACACTGTTGTGGCTGATAAATTTAAAAGTTGGAAAGATGTTAGACGTTGAAGATGAAAAACCAATCACGCCAAAAACGGTAATAAAGGTGGCGCTACTGTTGGGTTCACTGATGATACTAGTGCAAGTTGCCGTTGCAATTTATTCATATCGCTTGTTAAAAACGGAAATCGAGAATGACATTCACAAACAAATCGATCTTGTACGTAGTGATCTGCTGAGAGATGTTAGAGAGATTGAATTCAAAGATGTGGATAAGCGAAGATTTGATCGCCCAGACATTTTGGACCGGCGAAAGAGAGGCGACGATGTAAGTTTCACTAAAATCGTCAATCCTTCTTCAAAACTCGGTTAATAATTAATGTAGCAGGGTGATACCGCGCAAATTTGTAAGACAATTGAGCAACACTGTCCACTTAGTGGTCTACCGGGCTTTCCAGGATTGAATGGTTTGCCTGGTCAGAAAGGTGACAGGGGATATCCCGGAGTGGAGGGTCTTAAAGGCGACAAAGGTAAGACCAAATATAAATTGATGAGTTAAACGCAATGTATGCCAGGGGACCCCGGAATGGAGGGACTAGCGGGGTTGATGGGACGACCTGGAGCACCAGGAAAGTAAGCAAGCGACGCATCATTTTTTGCATGTGCATTGCACCTACCTACTTTGAATTTTTATAAAAACATATTAAATATAATTTAAGCAACTTTTTGTTAAGTATTTGCCTGCATCTTCACCGAAAATCGACCACTCAGAAATTGTTCGGGAAAACACTTTTGATTCGTAGAATCTAAAAGGTCTCGTATTTTGTCGATCTGAATCTGAATCTAAGGCAAAAAACCAATTTCGAATAATTCAATAGGCTATAACTTTTGATTTAATAGCCCAATGTTCAAACTGTTTGAAGTTATGGATTCTACAGGCCAAAATCTATAAGAAAATGTTTTCTCGGTCGACTTGCATTATACATACGCATGCCTTTAACGATACCAAATAAAATTTTTGAAAATGATGGGGGGGGGTGAACACTTGTTCATGTTATTCTAATGAAACGTCTCACTGAAATGAAATTTAGTTAGTTGCCTTAATAAATAAACTAAACACACACGAGTGATACAAGAAATAATGTCTAATAATAATAATAAACCTCGTGGAAATCTAAATGAAACTGAAATCAGTAGGTGGCCGGGAGGAGGAAGGAGGGGGTAGAAATTAATTTTATCTTTCATGGTATTGCAATTAAAGGTCTCCAACAAAATAAACTGTTTTCTACCAACTATCGCCCTAACTTTCTGACTCTTTACCAAAAGAGAGGATTGGGGTGGTGGTGGTGGAATGCAAAAGTGTCTTGACGTCAAAAGGGGAATTCTTCGAAAAACAATAACGTGATTGCTAAGTATAGTTTATTTATTTGTTAATATCGCTTTCAGAAACCTCTAGTTGCTCACGTAAGATGTAGTTTATCAAAATACCGAAACTAATTACCGAGTAAAATACATAATTGGCGTAGAGAATAAAAATGTACTTAAATATATTTATCTTGAATTACTTTACAATGACACGAAGGCAGATAATGTCATTTTAAGAAACTAAAGGTCATAGGTCTGGACACTGATCTAATCTCAATATATCAACAGTTATAAGCTACTCAATTTGTTCATTTATGTGAACACTGTTGTGGCTGATAAATTTAAAAGTTGGAAAGATGTTAGACGTTGAAGATGAAAAACCAATCACGCCAAAAACGGTAATAAAGGTGGCGCTACTGTTGGGTTCACTGATACTGGTGCAAGTTGCCGTTGCAATTTATTCATATCGCTTGTTAAAAACGGAAATCGAGAATGACATTCATAGACAAATCGATCTTGAATATAATAAACTTCTGAGAGATATTAAAGAGATTGAAATCAAAGATGTGGATAAGCAAAGATTCTATGGGACAGACATTTTGGACCGGCGAAAGAGAGGCGACGATGTAAGTTTCACTAAAGTCGTCAATCCTTTTTCAAAACTCGGTTAATATACTGTTGCAGGGTGATATCGCGCAAATTTGTAAGACAATTGAACAAAGCTGTCCAATTAGAGGCCCGCCGGGCTTTCCAGGAATGCCTGGTTTGCCCGGTCAAAAAGGTCAGCCAGGATATCCGGGATATCCCGGGCCGCAAGGCCAAAAAGGTAAGAGTAAAATATAAATTAATGAGTTAAATGCAATGTGTAATTATGGTATGCCAGGAGACCAGGGAGAGAGAGGACTACCGGGAGCACCAGGATTAATGGGACCACCAGGAAAGTAAGCAAGCGACGCATCGCGATTTGCATGTACCTACTTTGAATTTTTATTAAAACATGTTTAAATTTAAAGTTTATTTCTGCTGTGATTAAACGCGTTGTTTGTGTACATTACGTCAAATTAGTGTGGTCAACCGTGCCTCAGCATCTGACCCCTCCATATCTCAGTATGATAACATTCCAGAGCTAAGGTTCACTTAACTAAAAAACACACGAGAAAAAACTGGAGCAGTATTACCATTCCCATATCTATTAATCGTACAGTGAACAACTGTCGGAGGCCTTCGTCACCATGGGTGCAGAAGTTAAGACCGACTCAAATAATTACAGTTTCTATATAGTGTTGCTATTGGTGATAATATTACTATCACAGATCTTTATTGGATTATATTCATACAAAATATTGAGACGTGATGTGATACGCACTGTTGAAAATAATCTCGAAATCAGTAAAAGAGATATTTTGAAAGTGATTGAGAATTACGAAAGTGTTGGTGATGGGGAATTATTGCATCGATCGAAACGTGAGGCTGAGGGTAGCGGCGATGATTCAGAAGATTCCGAAAATGAATACGAAGTAAGTTTTTGCTTTTACAACAATTAATACCCGTTACAGAAATAAACTGTAACCGGGTGAATAGTTTATCACCAGTGAATATTAGTGAGTCAGTTTCGTTAATGTTTACTTGTAGATTGAAGATATAGAACTATTTTGCAATAAAGTAAACGATAATTGTGTCCAAAGGGGACCGGTTGGCCCACCCGGTAGGGTAGGTTTAATAGGGATAAAGGGAGAGAGAGGCCAGCCAGGAATACCTGGACCGATGGGAATTCCAGGTATGTACATATCTAGTAGTGCAATTTCAATGTGGGGAATCATATCTTCTAACTTTAAGGTGCACCGGGAATGACTGGACTTCCATGCACTACTACAAGACCTGAACAGTCAAGCCCCGCAAAGACTGACGACGTCCTTTCTAGTACATCAGCTCCAACTGCGCACGAAAGTCCCGTAGCGAAGGCACCTTCTGTAAACTCTAGTTATTATAGGAACGTCTTGATTATCACGCTATCAGCTCTAGTCTTTTTGTATATTTAACTATGCGTGTGTCAGTAGTCTAGTGTCTACTAGTCAAGTAAGTGTTAGAAAAATGAGTTTACGTACTTAATCCTTGTTTTATTATTGTTCCTCTTTCACTATAATTTCCTGTAGAATATAATTATATTATTATGGAACATCGCCATATCTCCATTAAAAAATGAGATCCGCGGTCCTTTTAATTTCATCGCATCATTATTGTTCTTTGCAGCGTCTACCCAACTCTTTCAAAAGCATAGATTGTGTACAGTGCGTAAAGGGTCATGGTATTATACATTATTTAAAAACAATGTTTGAATTGGTCCATTCTACCACTCATTGTTCTTATACACAGTTGTATATTACACCATGTACATTATTTGTTTATTCCACAAGATTTCGGCCGTTTGTTTGTTCGTTTCACCTTTTATCCATAGATCAAGACTCTGTATCGGAATATGATAGTTTTCAGTATTAGACGTGAACTGATCAATTAGATGTAAAGATGTAGAAGCTACAGACTTTCTTTTTTCTTTTGGACGCCATATCGGATTTTTACAGAATGAGATACAGGACAGAAAAAGAGAAATAATGTCGTGTCAAATCATAGCCATGTTATGTTTATTCATCAAGCTCTGGTTACGCGTGGACGTTTTGTCGAGAAATTAATGTATATAAAACAATTGGTTTTGAAATTTTTCTTGAAAATTTATGTGAAATGATAGAGTGCGACACGTTATTATTTTTCTTTGTTTGTCCTCTATCTCATTCCGTACAAATCCAATATGTCGTCCGTACGAAATAAGAAAACAGTAGCATGTAGCTTCTACAGTTCTACATCTAGTTTGTTATTGAAAATCTGATCACAGATTGAGAATCCCGGAAAAAAGGCGCCCATAGAACGTGCTAACGGAAACCGTTCATTTCCGACCGTTTAAGCTAAGGAAAATGAAAACGAAATTTGACATTTTAACTTTTCAGTAATATCTCAATTATTTTGAAAGATTTTTCAATAATTGCAAATGCAGTTTTTAGTCACAAAAAGGGGCAAATTCGCCTCCATTTAACATACCCACCGTATCACCCACCGTTACGGATATCCCAAGCGTGAGGCACGAGTTTGAACCACACTGTGAAGTCTGTGGGCCATACCAAAACCAGAGATGGGCAGAGCTTGAGGGCTTGTGGCTTCAAAAAGAGCTTGAAGCCCATTCCGGGAATTCAAATCCGTGGCTTGAAACCATTTTTTAAGTGAAGGCTTTGAAAAGAGCTATGGAATTTATGAATTGAAAAAGAGTGAAAAGGAAGATCTACAAGAAAGTTATAATCAATGCAGCCCTAGAACTAAAAACGAGGAAACTTGTTTTCACAATGAATTTGATGCTCCTCGAAAAAAAAATGAGGAGGACATTTTTTTTGAATTTGAAACTGACCAAAATCAGTGCTATATAAATGACAATGACAAAAACTTTTATGAGTCTACGTCTACATCAAAAGCAAGAAACGACGTAGAATTGGCAGTTTTGCATTACATGACTTACAAACTTAAAATGCTTAAATAATTACCCAATCATTAAGAGACTATTTATCAAGTAGGTACAACACTGCGTTACCCTCCAGTGCGCCGGTAGAAAGACTTATTTTCTTTCGCATCTATAATAAACGTACCCAAAAGACATGCCTTAACCGAGAAGAATTTTGAAGGTTTAGTATTATTAAAAGTCAACAAGGATTATTCTTAATATCTTATTTAGATTTCGTAATAAGTATTATGACCATTTTATCAATATAGAACTATTGACTATAGATTTTAAAATGTTTCAGTTTGTGTTAATATAATTAAAAAAATCAATAAGTATTATATTATTTATTAATGTGTTCTCCTGGTTCCCCATTAAAGGACTTGAAGCCCTTTTAAGGACTTCAAGCCCTTTTTAAAGCGAAAGAGCTTCAAGGGCTTTTGTCTAATTCCTTTTTGGGTGAAGTGGGTATGTCAAAGCTTTTATCTCCAAAAGGAATAACAATTACAACAGCTTTGGGCTTTCAAGCCCTGTGTAACAGGGATTGGGGTTTGGAGCTTCAAGCCTATTTATGGAGGAGTTTGCCCAACTCTGACCAAAAATGACGTATCTTTTGGGCGGACAAATTGCCACTTTGAGGGGTGATAGTGGATGTTGTTGTAAGCATAAAGAGGTATGGTAGACATCTCAAAAGGGAGTCTATTCAAAATGGCGGTCATTTCAAGATGGCGGATTAGCCTAGTACTAAAAGTCGAATATCTCTAGTTGTATTGGCGCGATTTTGATATTTTTTATTCCTAAATGGAAGGCCACATCAGGAGCTATAATTTTGGTGATCTATCTCATACATATATTAGAACGTTTAAAAAAAGGTAAAAAAGTAATGCACAGAATTAGTACATCTGTATCATCAGCAATACATACCTACTAAATCCTTAAAGGTATTACTGGCATGCTTTATGTGGAGCATCATTCTTCTATCTGCCTCTCTCTAGGTTGAGTACAACACTGGTATTTCTTCAAATCCACCATGAAAAGTTCATGCAATGTTGCCCATATGTTACAAACAAAACTTTGGAAGAGCTTCTAAAGAAAGTTTGGAATTTCCTCTTTTCAACTATCAACGAGATATTTAGTTAAATTGTTTTTGAAATCGGAACTTTTAAGCAAGCGACGCCAATTTACTATTTTATGAGCGCCTCTAATATTTTGAAATTGTATTCCGTCACTTTCGCCCCGGCGTTTTCTCTGCATTTCCTTGATGGATTTTTCAACGTACACATCAAAAACGGTTCGCGGACAGTTATTGTCAATGAAAAATTTCTGTTGAAATTGGCTCAAAAGTCGAATTCTCTCCATGTAATTTCTGAATCACGCTCATACCACACAGGATTCCAGTGGGGAAAATGTTCGTTCGGAGAAATTTTTTTCTGAAGATAATCACTAACGAATGCCTTATTCTTCAGACTACCATCTATATTTGCAATTGCCCAATTAATTGGTCCAAGAGCATAAGTAAATAATTTCCACATGTCAATCTTCTGATTTTCAGCTACCTTGTTGAATGCGATTACAAAATTCGGAAAATGCATCCTTACCCCATTGTTTTGCCATCAAAAGGTCATTGGTAGCATCCTTAGAAGCAGAAGTTCCGGTGGATAAATGTACAATATCATTAGGGCTGTTCAGTTCGTATGAGTTGGTCCAGCCCATTCGCTAGTAATTCATTTAAATTATTGACACATTCAGTGTCCTTTTCGTTCGTCTAGGAGAAAGGTCTGGGTGTTGTAATTGCTCATAATTCACGTAGACGAGTTTACGGCTGCTCGAAATTCTGGCGTCAAATAATACTTGGATACACTCTCTCTTTTTAGACTGAAATTATGCGTACCTTTTGCCGTTTGGTTACCTATCGTTATTCAGAGTCCCTTCAAAAACTTGATCGATAGGAATACGACCCAATGGATCGATGTTTGACATTTGAACGGCGAAACTACCATTCAAGAGATATTCGTAACAACTTCCCCCCAGATTTGCAATTTGAATGAAGGGTATTGAAAGGTAGCGAGCATAGTTAATTTTATCGAGAGCACAACACCACGGAAGCATGTTCTAGAGGCAGTGCACGTATCTCCTTCACTGTTTACTCGAAGCAATCCCAGTTGAATTTCAATAATTTCGAATTTATCAAAAAATATTTCCTCGCTGCTTGTTTCAAATTCCGATCAAAACTCTTCACCTTGCATTTTCAGCCACTCTTGAAAACTTTTCGAAATGACTGGCTTCGAATACCGCGATTATACTGGCGCTCTTCAAGTACTTTGGTCTTTCAGAAATAGGCCCGATTCTACAGGTAAATCCCGGAGTCCACCATCACCAAAACATTTTCCAATTATCGATAGTAAATTGTTCCCCATCATTGGGTTGATTGAATCGTATATTAGTGGGAGAGACCATAAAATTTCGCAAGCTTTCAAGAATAAAGCTCGATCCATCACAACAATATAATTTTATCCTTTCTTATCAACAAACAATTTCGTAAGATTTCTTGAACGGAGGCCATATTTGTCGCCGGAAAGTTGATAGTGGGCAAGTAACCAATCATATCTGCTCTAACTTTCACATTTTCCGGCGTACAAATATTGAAACCAGTCCACGATTTTACTCTGTGGCCAGTCGAATGCATTATATGACCTATCACCCACACAATTTTTCAGCATCGCACTTCTGAACGCAGATTTCTAACATAGGTCTTTCTTGGGGAGTGTCACAGCCAGCGGGAGGATTTTTTCTAGCCGTGTAACATACGGTGGTATGTCATCATTAAAGGCCTCAATACTTTTTTTTTGTTTTAACAGAGCGGAGAGCAGCTGCTGAAGAGAATGGTTTAACTTCTTCCACTAATCCAATGTGAAGTAGGTACCAGAACCTGATAAGGTTTCTTCCAGTCTGTCAATGTTATCATACGCCAAGACTGTTGGAACTCCAGGCTGTACAAATGATGGTAAAGGCACATCATCTTTACCCAAAGTTTTCAGCTTTTGCAAACATTGAGCCAATTTCTATAAGCTTAGAACAATTACAGGCATGTCCTAGTCGATTCATTATTTCGATTATTTCCACATTTCCTGTTAGTGTTATTACCGCCATAGACAATAGTAGGTACGTCTTTAGGTACAGTAATTTTCCGTGCTCTGATACCTTGAATTAGGTCCTGGGGGTCGATTTTTGAAACCAGTCGCATCTATTCGTATACGCTTAGATGCGAAGACTTAAAAACGTATACGTTTTCCAAATCCAATTTTTGACTGCTGTTCGTAACTGCCTGGAACCGAAACGTACAGTGCATATGACAACGTCGCCTTTATTGATTGATTAGAACTAAAGCGGACTATTTGACGTTTGGGTTTGAGCTTAGGTGGTGAGGTGAAGATATTGCTCAGTCATTTCAAATTAAAGAATAATAATATTTTAGGCACTGATTAGCATGAATACTCAAAACACGATGGACACGCCAAATGGAGGGTGCAATACCACGCAAAACCAAAAAAGGTGGCTTGTAGAGTCTGCTAAAAACCACCCCGCTATACTAGCAGGGAAACAAACTACGACTTTGACGTGCAAAAAAATGCAAGACTCATGGAAAGAAGTAGCTGATACATTTTGATAAATTGTGCTTCATTTAAGACTTCTATGGGGTTGCAAGGATCACGGTTCCTATTCGGGCGATAATTGCGTTCGGCATTCTCTAAATTGTCTATTACAAACACATTCACAGCTTCATCCATTGTTGTTAGTAGATACCTTTCAAGTCTCAAGAGTCAAAACTTCAACACTAACCAATACATAACCCACAAAACGTCAGTTGCGAGCGTTTGCGAACGCCATTTACCCGCTCGCAGAAAAACGAACACAATTGAACGTATACGCAATATAAACGTATGGTCAAAAATTGCAAATATACGTTTCTTTACGAATACGTATACGTTTTAAGGAAACGTACGGCCAAAAATCGACCCCTGACCGAGTGACCAAATGAGAGGATTATGTTCGGATAACTTCTCATCTGTATTGAATAACACGTTCAAAAATGATTTGAATTCTTTAGGAATGATTGAATCGCCGTGGTTTGGATGTGGAGACCACTTTTGACAAATGTCCATATTTTTTATCCCTGTACGAATTTGCGTCGCTGCCTTCGTTGCGGTAGCCCTATCTTCATCATACGATTCCAATTTTTCTAATCGTGATTGAAATTTAACGCAGCGATTTGCAAGTAGGTAATTCGCAGGTTAAATTATCAGGAGTGATATAAACTCTACGATCAATAGTGCAAAAGCGCAGTGATTTACCAAATTCTCTCTCCAAATCTCTCTTTAAATTCACTTTCGTACTTTCGCTAACTTCGGAAACTCCAGTAGAACTCAGAAGGCCAGTTAATTTTGTAGTCAGTAAAACTATAAGAGAATCTTTCCGATCTAATATATTTGAACAGGTTTTATCAAGAATTTTTCTCGATTTCGTTTGAGGGGGGTCATCACTTCACTTTTTTTTCTTTTCTGGTCGTGTATAATTTTTATAACAGCTATACGGTGATACGCAACCTCCGCTGCTACCAAGTCGCGCGACGTACCTGTACGGCAGGATTTTACGAGTAGAATCCTGTTTATTCATAGCATGCAATGATGTGATTATAACAAGTTTTTTTGAAAAATTTTCTTGTATTAGGATACTAACATATTACATCATCGAAAAGATAAAAAACATCTCTATCAAATGAACCTAATGAAAAGGTGCACTGCCATTAAAAAAAATTCAATTGTTTTTCGTTAGGTACCTACTCATTTGCTTTCTGAAATAAAAACAACTATCATATAGAAAAATGTGTGATGTGACCTTTCATAAGGAATTATCAAAATCGCACCAATATAACTATAAAAAACTTCCGACTTTTAGTACTTGGCAAATCCGCTATCTTGAAATGGGGACCATTTTGAATAGCTACCAACCCTTTTGAGATGTCTATCATACCTCTTTATGCTTACAATAGCATCCACTATCATCCCCCAAAGTGGCACTTTGGAATGAAAGAGTCTAAGGATGTGGAAGATTCGGTTAGTCTTACATACGAATGGACGAAAGTATTTTTTAACATTCAGCTTTTTTCATTTTCGAAAATGTTTCTTTGTACAACTCGAAAGCGTAGGTTGCTATTATATGCAGTCGCGGACCTATTTCGTTTTGTTGCCTATTTAATTTCAACTCAACGCGTTCCAGTTAGTCTAACATACACATCTACTATGCATAAGGTATTCATGAAATGCATTCTTAACTGTACAAGATCCACCCCTTTTCTTCGATAAATCAATAAATTATAAGCAACACTAGAAGGCGTGGCTGTGTGAAGTAATTATTGTTTTCCTAAACAGAAGATACTTACTTACCTCTAGAAACTATGCAACTATGGCCATTGTATGCCATCGGCATGCTAGCACATATCACCCATAGTAAAAATAATAACGCTATGCAAATGATATATCCATAACATTCGAATTTCACAAAATACATCATTAATATTGTTTATCTTACAAATCTATGTTAATTTTTAGCCTTCAAGCTGTATGAACTTACATTACTCTAGCAGTGGTCTTTCATTGTTAGTTACCTTACAGGTGTACCTACAAGATGCTGAATTCGAAGGTATAATTTATGAAGGCTATCACACGTTTTCAATTGGATTCAGTTTCTAGCTTTCGCGATCCTTATGGCATTAAATAAACAATTCACGACGGCGCACCCCATTTTTAATTCAGAAAGTGATTCTGATCCAATTTCGATTGCATGTGAGTTACTTTTTGAATCCGTAGTAGTGAAAGTATAATTGTTTATTTAGTTTCAATATATGATTTGGGAGGATTTGGAAGTCGTGAATGGCGTGATAGTGACTGGTATAATAGACATGTCAAGGACTGGAAACGTTACGACGAACCCCCATACAGTTACTGGGATTTTTATGACGAGTACGAAGGGTAGTCAGTGTTTTAGCTTATAGAGCATGAAAAATTCTTTTGGACTGTCGACAACAAAAAAACAGTAATTTTCCGTACGGTCCTTCAATTTTTCGTTACTGCACACCGTAATATAACAAATTAGTCAGCGAGACGAGGAGAAATTTCAAAAAGTGATACTACTACTCTCAGCATTCTTCAAATATCAATCATTTTAAACGGATTTCAGCTTGCCAAATTCCATTATCAAAGCCTAACGCTATAACATAAAGCTGAACTGATTGCTCACTAATTACGCTGGTAATATGAGCATTTTTGAAGAACAGCAAAGAATATTAGTATAAGTTGTGTTGTATTAGCTCTTGCTGTTGTAAGCTTAAACTTGTTTTAAGTAACTAAAAATTACATGTCGAAAAAATAAACTGAAACACTATTCTTTAATTACATTGCCACATCTACGCCTGCGTGTCTTCCTCGCCAATTAGAAAGCGTCTTGGGCCGATTTTATTAGTTTTGTATGTCATTTTATGTTTCCTGGGCAGAGTGGAGTTGGGGGTGAGGGCTCGTTCACCTCTTTTCGTTGACCGAGCCCTTAATTTTCGGTCTATTGATGAAGTAGCGATACATGACAGTACCTACTCGAGGTATTAGGGGATCTAATGCGCCCTAATACAGTTCAAAATTATTTAAAAAAAACTATGTGGATTATCAAATAATAATACGGTTAATTACATGAGAGGCAAGCAATGGAGATAATTAACCCCTTCAGTTAAATTTAATATAAATTACGTTAGCAGTTCGCATATTGTATCACAAGAACATCTATAATGATTGTAAAGGCTACTCGCAAATATTATATTCAATTAATTAAGGCTAATTGAAAAGATTTTACCTTGTGGTGAAGTATTCCCATAGTGGGTTCGCACGGAATATAATTAAAATGCACTCCTTTTTATTAACTAAGTTACTTACTTACTCTACAATGAAAGATTTTTACCTGACCATCCGAGCGAGTTGTTTACAAGTTAAATATCAATTCCCTAAGAACCACATAAAACAATTCGGCCTGCTAGAAATGTAAATTTGTCGCCTTTAGTGGTTTATTGTCATAACCGAATTATGTTCATGCCCTCTGTAACCTTTTGGCGCTATTTAGCTCCAGAGCTTTTGTAGAACATTTGAGAGCCTTTTTAGAGTTCTTTTCACAGCTAGTAGAGATAGTTATAGAAAAGACCTGGAAGTTAGAACGCCGTAGAGACCAGTGGCCTAAAATAAAATTGAAATAAAAGAATACAGGTTACAAAACATTCAGACATGTATATTGCACAAGGTGTATGTTACAATAAAACAAATAATTTAATATTTATATTAAAAGATTTGCACGTCCAGCATGCAGTATTGTTAACATTTAAATAGAATAAGGTACATAAATTGTATACAGTTAATAAAATACATTTCACATTACAAGTATTAAAAGCTAGGTAGGTATTATCATTGTTAAAATACTTTAAACAATGGTAGGTATTATATTAACGGGCCACGATACATTCAGTACACTTTTTTAGAGTTTTTTAACTAGAAACGTTCGTAGTTCACTTACGTCCACGCTATGACCTAAATTGAGTCTTCTTATTGGGGATTTTTGGAAAAATTATCTATACTTACGAAAACGCAACTGTCAGTCATTTCTCTTTATTGAACTTTTTGGTATAATAGCGGGCGCCATTAATATTGTGTTTTGTAGTTTTCGAATATCTGAGGACGTGTTATGGCCTTCTTCATCAAATTCCTTCCATCTAATGTAGTTCTGTCTCATATAGGTGACCAATTCAGGCATGTCGATGAAAGCTGAAAAAGTAAAAAAACTGCAACTGTAATTGCGCGAAACCAACTAACCATCCCACGCCTCGAACATATCGTGAACAATATAATCTACAAAACCTATTTGAGATTTAGGTATCGAGCATGTTATTCTGTCAAACATGGGCATAACGACCGGCAAGCCTTTCGATTTTTCCTCATCAGTTTGTGCGAAATATTCTTCGGCAATTCGTCGGGCCCATTCAACACACAGTCTTAAAGGTCTCGTGGGATTAGATACGTCGGCGCATTTAATCATCATTCTCTTAACTAATGTAATATTGTCAGGTAACGTAATTGGTATATAATCTGAAGACTAAATAAACGCTATTGGGCAATGAAACACATCAGTGCGATACTTACTTCACCGTCGACCCGCGAGGTTTTTTGACAAAACACATTGACAAATTTGGCTAAATGTTCAAAATGTTTCGTCATCTCTGTGGCTAAGATCATATCAATTACGTTATGGCGTGCAACTTTGTACGTTTCCCTATCTAAATGTTTAAAAATATTTATCCTATCATCACCTGAAAACGAAGATTGTAATGGACACTTTCCACTTGGAGCTAATCAAACCTAAAGTTAATTTAAAAGTAAGTGCCGCATGATGATTTTCGAGAACGGTTACATCATTGTACAGTATAGCTAATGGATTGTCACAGTTACTGAGGAAAGCACTTGATTTTCCGGGGTGGTCGACGTCATGTGAACAGGCGGCTATAAGCGACGATGCCTCATCTAGAGGATCCATAATCGCCTTTAGCCTATCTTTCTCCAGAAAGCCGGCGGTCGCCTGGAAAGCCATTTTTGAAAAAAAATGACAATGTTGCCTGCTTTCACCTGCATCACGTCTGCGGCATGTGTCGAGTTGTGGTAAAAATTATCGACGTGATAATTCATCTCTATTACCGTCAGCCAATTTTGCAAGGTCTTTTCGTCGCAATTTAAAGTGGCTGGAACGTCAAAGTGTAAAAATAGATTCATGCCGAGGTGGATGAGTGGCTTCTTGTTGGTCAGCTCCTCTAATCTAAATATGTCGAACTCCCAGGTTAGCGAGGTATCGAGTAGATCTTTTATTTGGGCCGGTACCTGTTGACCACTTTTAAAGGTTGGGGCACCCTCAAATTTCTTACCCTAACTTTAGATATGCCGCGTGATACATTTCGCACCGCCGTGGAATCATTACTGCTCCGCCGGGAGGATGGGGCCAACTGTATCTGGGGCTGCTGCTACAAAATACATATTGGCTTCGATAATTTACTTGTGATGGAAAACGAACCATAAGAAGAGCAGTAATGAGGTCGGAAGTTACGGGTTCGTCACATTTCAATCTTAAATCGTCCTTCAGATGAGGCGAGTATAGTTCTGTGTTATTCAGTATTTCGATCACTTTGTCAATGATGCTGACAACGTTCGGATTAGTCTGTTCTTGAGCTTGAGACAAAAGACTTATCACCTGAAAATGAGTTGTGTAACTTATTTTCTATGTTTCCGACTAGCGCACCAACCTTAGTAATTGGAGCTTCTAAGGGGAGAGCTGATAGTTTTGCTAAAGACGTTCGCCTGAAGTAATCACTGCTTACGCTACGCACATCCATTGATGTTCTTCGATTCGATTGTACACTACCACGAGGTTTATCTAAGGAATAACTGGTCGGAGTTAATTCCGTTATGCCGTGAACATCCAATATTAAAACAAAGTGCGTTGGAACCCTGAAATTGAATAAATAATTACGAGGTCGTTTATGTACAATTCATATTTTAGCGAATATCAACCAGTCCAGGAAATGAAGGTTTTGCCCTGGCATTTTTTCAAAATGAATCGATTGAAATTTTGACAGTAGGTAGGTAATAGCCTAAGGAGCAAAATCTATATCGTGCCAAACGGCGCTTTCCCCCTGGGGATGGTTGCCACCCCACATCAGGGGTGATAATTTTTTTATTGTAATCTTTATACATAAATAGATAGAAGAATTAATTCTAAGCAAAAAGTGTTCTATACAGTTTTTTATAAAAATACTTCTCCAGTTATTCGCGACCGAAAGTATGAGTTTTTCATATGAAAGATCAATATTTTCAATTGGTTATTCGCGAAAAACTCGAATATTTTATTTAAAAAAACCGTGGAGAACAAAACCGTAGCTTTTAAAAAAACAAAGAAAATAGTTTTTTTAATAATTGATGTATGACCAATACGCACTGAGTTTTGGCTTGTTAAAGGTTAGCTCTTGTTCGTCAAACACTAAATAAGAGAGTTTTACAGTCAAATAACAGCAAAACTATGCATTTTTCGAGAAAAACTTGTAGAATATTCTTTAAAGTATTTAAAAAAACCTTTTTCTACGAAAGTGTAGAAACACGATTGTTTTTGTAGGTAAATTGATTGTGAAAACAGGTCTTTGAAACACTAGTGCGGCAAAAATATTTTCTGCACGCATTTTCTACACGCTAATAAACATATGCGAAGTAACTCTTTATAATTGTATTGCTTTATTCGCACAGTTTCGTTATATAAGACAGACAATGGTAGAATTTCCTTTGCCTTCTGCTACAGAAAACGTTCTTGGGACATGATTCTTGGAGTCAGGAATCGTTAAGTATCAATAAAATTGTATCTTGTTCTGTGAAATTCGTTACAGTCATTTTACAACGTTCGCTCCGACGGCAAGCTCCAGCCACTCCAAGGACGAGAGCAACCTGTAATTAAATTATGCTTATTTATGATTTAAAAATACAATAAGAAATTGACAAACCTTCATCATTACAAATGTTTCATTAGGCGCTTCTCTCAAAAACTTAGCGATTTATTCTCTTATGAAAACGCTCCTTTCCGAAACGCTGCTTACACTTTTGGGGTAGCAATTCATGCGAAACCGCATTAGCCATTTCCGCAACGTCCGGCGGGGTGCACATACCTTCTTCATCTTCAGTTTCGTCAAAATTTATCTTAACACTTCTTCACTACGCCACAAATTGTTTGATTTAAATTTACGATTTTTCAAACAATTATGTTTTGTCATGGCAATCGGATTACTGGATCATTTACAATTGAAACATCCAACTACGATCAGACTATACGATTTTTTGTCGTTATTTGGCTAGTTGAAATTTCTAATTTCTAGAGAAGAATTTTTCACTTTTAGTACGTTGGGTACGCCAAAAAAAACTGCATTTTTTGATTGGAATATGCCACTTTCTGTGGTAATAGTTAATACCAAAAGGCAACTTTTGAGATTGAAATTTTCCGAACTTGCAAGGTAGATACAAGGAGTTTTGTGGTTGAATCGTTTGAATTTCTAAACGATGGCCTTTTTTGTCGAAAAGACCGGGATATTGCACAATTAAGAGCTTACTTGTGATTCAAACTCGTAAAAAAAACACTTTTTTATTATACCTGAATCACAATCTCCGTTTTAAACACTCAAATGCGTGCGAAAAAGGGCCTTTAAAACACACGTGCTTTAAAGTTGCTAAGTAACGATACTTCAATTTGAAACTGTCATCTGGATGAAATAAAAAATCCTCTTAGGTCGCTTTCTGTAAATGCAGAACATTTCTTTGGCTTTTGTACATATCCTTTGGTTGAAGCTTTTACAAACGCGCGTAATTTAGGGTATGCTTCCAAATCTGTTCCACTTTTTAATCGCAGCATTGCTTTAAAGTTTTGAATGAGTGCACCAAAATATAGAAGATTTAAATACCTTTGACATTTCCTTCATATATGCCAGCATTATGGATGCATTTAAGACTGTATTTGTAACTTCCTATTCATCCATGGAAACAACTTTTCATATTCTTTATAATAGGCTTTACTGGAGTTGGATTTTACACCTACCAACGTTTGTTTAGATTTTACAACGATTTAATGGGCGGTATTATCTTTTTCATCGTTTAATTCACAAAGACGATGATTTTTATAAGCAAACGTCAAGTGACATTTCCATGGCAATCGTGAAATTACGAACACCCAGCCCACTTAATTAGACATGTATTCGAGTATAACGTCAATATGATTTCATTGTATTTCCTATTTTTAAATTATACTGCAGGTATAATAAAAAATACTATAAGATACACGTGTATAATTGGTCTTTAAAGCACTTGCAACGTTAAAGGCACTCCGCTTTGCGTCGTGCCCTTAAACTCGTTGCGCGTGCTTTAAAGACTTGATTACCTATACACTTGTATCTTAATATACTATTTTAAAATTGTGCTAAATCCTTAAGTTTTAGAGATAAATGTTATATAGCAAAAAAGTTTTCTCGTCACAAGAGCTTTCAATAAAAAAAAAAGAAAACTAAAATCGGACTATTAGGAGCAGAGATACAAAAAAATATATTGCGGCTAATGGCGCCATTTTGACGGCCACCATTTTGGTTTCCTGCACGGATTTTCGAGTGGCTCCCTATCTCAAAAGTTGCCTTTTGGTATTAACTATTACCACCGAAAGTGGCATATTCCAATCAAAAAGTGCAGTATTTTCCCCATTCTAGCCATGTACCCGACGTACTATTTCGTAGAAAAAATAGTATGAAACACGCATGCCGAAACGGTAATTGAAAAACTCGTATAATAGGAACACTCGCTGGCGCTCGTGTTCCTACATTTATACTCGTTTTTCAATAATACCGTTTCTGCACTTGTATTTCAATGTACTATTTTATTATACCTGAATCACAATCCCCGTTTTAAACACTCAAATGCGTGCGAAAAAAGGCCTTTAAAACACACGTGCTTTAAAGTTGCTAAGTAACGATACTTCAAGTATGACTTTTGAAACTGTCATCTGGATGAAATAAAAACTCCTCTTAGGTCGCTTTCTGTAAATGCAGAGCATTTCTTTGGCTTTTGTATCTATCCTTTGGTTGAAGCTTTCACAAACGCGCGTAATTTAGGGTATGCTTCCAAATCTGTTCCACTTTTTAATCGCAGCATTGTTTTAAAGTATTGAATGAAACCAAAATATAGAAGATTTAAATACATTTGCCAGCATTATGGATGCATTTAAGTGCTTGTTCACAATGGACATAAGCGTTACAAAAACATAACAGATACATAAAACATAATATTGACATAAGACATAATTTTACGCAGGTGGAGAAAGTGTTCACAGTGACCGTAAGATTATAATTATCTGCGTAGGCGCACATCCAAAATTTAAACTCGGCAAAACGTCAAGAACATAGCAATATTATTTGTGGTGTATATGTGTGTGTCACTGAGATGGAAATTTCAACAGTTTTATTGCTTTGACTGTCAATAAGACAGAGAGACAAAGTTGTTACAAAACAAAAACGGCGTTGGTGGGTCAGACCTATAAATCGAGACCGAGAGAAAAGGGGAGAATTTAAGAATTTAAGCGTGTCTAGAAATGAAGCTCCATGATGAAGAATGGTTTTTTTCATACACCAGGATTATTCGATCACCTTAATAGGTCTTTTGTCCCCTTTATTAAACAATTAGGGTTTTAATCGCACCAAACTAATCAGTAATTCGACGTCTATATGTTTTCCATGCCGTGTTGGATATAATCAAAGAACAACACACGAAGGACCAAACAACACCAAACTATGAAATAATGCGCCAAAAACTGTGTGCCAATTTAAAAATAACCAGATTATGTTGGCAGAAGAGATGTCATCGACGTTAGACGTAGTAACTGAAATGTCAAACCAACAGCGCAGTGCTGCATCTTTGCACCCAACAGAAATACACCTAATTCCACTAGATTTTTCATAAAACCTACGTAAAGTTGAAACCGACCCAACTTTATGTATTTTTTATGTACCCTTTCGGTAGGACATAAAACATACACAAACATTTACAAAAAAATAAAAATTATGTAATCATTGTGAACACCTACGTTGGTTTGCTACTATTCAACATTATGAATTATGCATCTGTTATGTTTTTGTTACGCTTATGTCCATTGTGAACAAGCACTAAGATTATAATTATCTGCGTAGGCGCAAATCCAAAATTTAAACTCGGCAAAACGTCAAGAACATAACAATATTATTTGTGGTGTATATGTGTGTGCCACTGAGATGGAAATTTCAACAGTTTTATTGCTTTTACTGTTATGAAGACACAGAGACAAAGTTGTTACAAAACAAAAACGGCGTTGGTGGGTCAGACCTATAAATCGAGACCGAGAGAAAAGGGGAGAATTTAAGAATTTAAGCTTGTCTAGAAATGAAGCTGCATGATGAAGAATATGGTTTTTTCATACACCAGGATTATTCGATCACCTATTAACCTTATATCTTTTGTCCCCTTTATTAAACAATTAGGGTTTTAATCGCACCAAACTAATTAATAATTCGACGTCTATACGTTTTCCATGTCGTGTTGGATATAATCAAAAAACAACACACTAAGGACCAAACCACACCAAACTATGAAATAATGCGCCAAAAACTATGTACCAATTTAAAAATAACCAGATTATGTTGGCAGAAGAGATGTCATCGACGTTAGACGTAGTAACTGAAATGTCAAACCAACAGCTGCGTCTTTGTACCCAACAGAAATACACCTAATTCCACTAGATTTTTCATAAAACCTACGTAAAGTTGAAACCGACCCAACTTTATGTATTTTTTATGTACCGTTTCGGTAGGACATAAAACATACGCAAACATTTACAAAAAAATAAAAATTATGTAATCATTGTGAACACATACGTTGGTTTGCTACTATTCAACATTATGAATTATGTATCTGTTATGTTTTTGTTATGCTTATGTCCATTGTGAACAAGCACTAAGACTTTATTCGTAAGTAACATCCATAGAAACAACTTTTCATATTCTTTACAATAGGCTTTACTGGATTTTGATTTTACACCTACCAACGTTTGTTTAGTTTTTACAGCAAGCGATTTAATGCACGGTGTATTATCTTTTTCAACGGAAATCGTTTTATTCACAAAGACGATGACTTTTATAAGAAAACGTCAAGTGATATTTCCATGGCAATCATGAAATTACGAACACCCAGCCCACTTAATTAGACATGTATTCGAATATAACGTCAATATGGTTTAATTGTATTTCCTATTTTTAAATTATACTGCAGGTATAATAAAAAATACTATAAGATACACGTGTATAATTGGTCTTTAAAGCACTTGCAACGTTAAAAGCACTCCGCTTTGCGTCGTGCCATTAAACTCGTTGCGCGTGCTTTAAAGACTTGATTATACACTTGTATCTTAATATACTATTCTTCTTTTTTAAAACAACTTTAGCATAAAATTTAAGTGAGTTATGATGAAAATAAGGTAGATCCGTACTTTTTTCAGGGAAAAAATCAGCGCAAGCAACCCCCTAATTACCACCCTCATTAACATTAGTCCTTCCCCTTTTCCAGTTTTCTCTAATTACGTATTATTAATACATTCTAGAAGTGCGACCAGTTTAGAAGACTTAATTTTCAAATAATTAAAGCTAAAAGTGAAAAACCAATTTTTGCAATTTTGTGAATAACGTTCTCTTCAAAATAACTACAAAACAATTGGAGATACGTAAAAAATGCTAGAACATCCAATTGTAGCTTCTTTAATTCCAAACATTTTCCTCGCCGGGGATGTTCTGTACAACAAAAATTAAATGAGATATAGTCGTTAAAAACTTGTATTTATATGCGAGCACTACTTTATTTTAACTCTTTAAGCTCACTCTATATTAAAACTAAGAGTTTTAAAGGGATTTGATGTAAATAGCCTTGTAGCTCTGGTAAAAACCTACAAAAAGGTTGTTTAACGCCATTTCTATCATGAAAAATAAAGAAGTTATGAATAAAAATAAACGAATAACAATTTTTTTCGAAAAATTCTGAAAGCACAAATCGACGAATTATGTCACATGACCGGTATATATTTCGTATACTACACATTAGAAAACTTACATACACACTTACATCCATTCCATACACTTACACACTATGTAATATTTTGCGCAGACTGCGCAATGCCAATTTTCTTATATTTTGAGATATTTCTTTGAAATTTTAATGACAGATGCTCTAGTAAAACATTTTGCACATAGTAAAAATTATGTGTGGGCATGCGCAGTGACTTCGCAATGCCAACTTTCTTATTTATGGAGATATTTCTTTGAAATTTTAACCACACACTAGTAAAGGCAAACATTTCGCACATAGTAAAAATTATGTGTGACAGATTCACTAGTGTTATACGTAATTTAAAAAAGCGAGGTCTGATATTTTTATACATAGTCATACCTATAGATACAAAAACTTTAACCTTTTAACTCCAGATTCAATACCGGTGAAGACAGTTGCCAGAGATAGCAGCCCAGTGCGGCTGGTGGGCTGAGACTGAGTAAAACTTCGACATTTATGAAGAGATTTTTATGTTACTTTTTGAAATGAAATTTCATACTTCTGTTCTTATCTGAAATGAATTTTTCAACGACTTTTTCTTTCAAGTCGAGAATGTTCTGGACTAACTTTTTTTCAACAGTAATATTCTAAGTGCATAGAAATAGCCGATTAAATTTTGACGGTTTCGTGAAATTTTTGACTTAGAAATACTTCCAGTTATTTTACTACGTAACATGGCAACAAAAATATTTTGGGAGAAAATGGCAGAGAATAATTTCTTATTACCAAAACAATTTGATGAACAACAAAATTGAGTCAGGCTATTTTTAAGCACGCGGCATTTCTGGCCGTTACATTTGCTTTTATTCCAAGTGCCTATGTATCTATTATTTATTTATTATTTATTTATATCAAATTTCATTTAAATGCTTTCATAAATAAGAAAGTTTGAAATTCGGATCGAGATGCAAAAAGGTCACCGTGAATGTTGAATCAATTATCCTCAACTTTTGGCATTGCGTATTATCTGACTAAAGCTATGCCCATATTGAATTTCATCCAATTCGGTTAATAACTCACGGAGATGTCAAAAGGCCCTTCCTTATTTTTTGGCCTACATTGCCAATTCACGAAATCCGGTCTACAAATTTGATAAAGAATCCACCTGCAAAATTTCATCGTAATCGGTCCACTCGTTTTCAAGATATCGTGCTAACGGACGGACAGACGCCGCAAAATTATAAACTCGCTAGGAGCTCGTTAATCAATAGGATATACCTAGAGATATTGCTCCCCGTGTTAACTTAGAGGGTTTATAATGACACGAATCCAAAGAAGATTTTTTTTCTCCTCTAATGCGATATATGTATAAATTAGTTCCATTGTTCAGGTGAATTTCTCATTATTTTATCAAACATTCGACAACAAATCCAATTACCAAAATCATGTTAAGCCATGAGTAGTAAGACAAAAGCAGATTTCAAACGTTATTCAAGTCAAAATCGATAGCAGTTTATAACAACTGGCATTCATTTTTTGTAAAATGTATTTCATTGAGGAAAAAGTATTTATAATAAACAACGTTTACAGCGGAAATAGTTACTCTAGTACGCGATATTTGTTTTCCGTGCATTTTACTGAGCGTCCTACTTATATCGTCTGTGTCAAAAGCTATTTAATTCTTTAGACAATTTCCATGTCTTAACATGATTTTTCTAATTGGATTTACTGTCGAATTTTTGAAAAAATAATTTGATGAAAAAAATCATCTTTTCTTTTCCCATCTTAATTGCTTATGTTTGGTTTTGAAATATGCACCCGGTAGAATTGCAAACAAATTCAAATTAATTCAGGTCAATTCAGAATAATTCACGTTAATTCAAATTAATTCAGACGGGTGTACACCAAAAATTCAAAGTTGTTTCCCCCTAGTATCACCTCCATCTATCGTCCGTATGTCATACAGCATATGCAAATATTGCCCTTGTGTCCTTAGAACGGAAGTACAAGATAATTTTAAAATTGTTTTGGAAAGGCCTATTTCTCCCCTTTTTTTAAATAAATGACACTTTGATCCTATGTACAGTTTTTGAGAAATATCACTGTGATCTATCATACTGATGTCATGCAGCGCCCTTATAACAGAAGTGCAAGAAAACATTCAAATTGTTTTGGAAAGGGCCGGATTTTAAGTGAACCAATCTTTAAGCTTTATCATTGACAATATTTTGATTAATTGAATATTGTGATTTTCTCATCATTCATTTTTTTTTTTTTGATGTAGGCTGTTCGGTATACTACCCACGTTTCGCTTAGTATGACAGTATCCTTGAATCAATAATATTAACAATAAAGTGTGTGGGCCCTATCAGACTCCACATACGGCAGAAATTAGGACCTATTCGTCCACGGGCGATGGGAAATGTGCTATTAGAAACAATGGACTCCAAAAAATATCTTGATGTAATTGGACAACAGATTCAATACGAATTGTGATTTCATTGTCAATCAAGAAAAAATATGTTTGGTGATCATTGAATGATTCTAATAAATACTGCAAACTTACCGCCCCGCGCATATAATTGGTATGCCCTTGCAATTACAAGACACTGTATCCTGACTCTTTTTGCGCACCAACAAACTTCCTTGCCATTCCCGAGCCCTCATAAGAGACGATGTCATAGAGGTGACTTGTAGGGGGTCGGCTATGAACTGCTCATGAATACTTTTCCCCAAGAGCTCATCGTACCGATATCCCAAGAAGCGTTCGCTGGACCTGTTAACGTACTGCAAGACAAACAACAAATTTCTAAAATCCTACATCTCGGCACTCACCTGTAATCGATAGCTATCGTCCGTAATTAGCACAATATCGCTGCACTTTTCCAACGCTATGTAAAGGGATTGATTGACGGCGGTCTGTGCTAGTGGTCTGATATCGCCGTGTCTAATTTGAATTAGCTCGTTAACGAAATGAACGATGTTGGTGGTCTCTGCGATACACTATCAAAATCTAAGTTAGAGGCAAGGTCTTTTTTGGACTATCGAAATTGTCTTACCCTGTTAAATCCGGCGTCAAGAAGAGACATAATCGTAACATCGTCCTTATCGAAAACGCTGTAATTAGTAAATGCAGATTAAGGCATTACTTTAAAAGAAAGTCACCTTCTCTTCACCAGCGCTACGGCGGCCGTGTGCTGGCTTCCTCTTGTGTTTCGTATTGATCTGTGAAAGAAAAAAAACAAATTTAGTGGACCTTAATGGGCAAAGTTAAAAATTGTTAATAAACAAAATTCTATTTAGCGCATACATGTCGTTGTGGTACAGTCCCCTTTTCTTATGTACCCCCTCCAAGTGCGAATAAAAGCTAACTGTACGTGAATTATGATCAAAATTATCTAAAATCGACCATCGTTTAATATCGATACTTAAATATTATATATAATTACACGGCGATATGCACAAAAAAACCCTCTATATAAAGTGTCTATTTCTGTCACCGATTTTCACCAAATGAAATTTAAATATAATGGTTTAAAAAGTGCTATAAGTAGGTGTACAGTATTAACTTAATTTTACTTTTTTCAAGGAAATAAACTAGGTTTGGATGGGTCCCTGGTAGAACTGAACAGAACTTACTTCCAACAAAACGGAGTGCCGCCACATAATGCCGAACGACTATAGCCGTAAATTTTTTGATTCAATGACCAGCTAGAAGCCCAGATTTGACGCCACTCGACTTCGAATTATAAAATATAGGCACATCACTTCACCCGAAAAATGTTAAGATTTGAAAAATCGCAAAGTTGATGCCTGTGGTTAGGTAACCTATCGAATCAGCTTATAGTACTTTTTCAACCCCTTTATTTAAATTTTCATTGGTAAAAAATAGAGATTTTATAAAAGTGTGGACCCCTCTGAGTTTGGCACGCGACATTTAAACAACATATTGCTTGTATTTTTTTAGTTAATGAATGATTGGCGTATTTACATCATTTTATGAACAGAATCCAATTATGATTGAGATGTAGCGGCGTGTAATTTATTTGAATAATTTAACTGATTACCATGAAGTTTGGATGAGCATTATGTAATTTGTCAGCTGGACTTAAAAAAACACAACGATACAGTAACATTATTCACTCCCCCTTAATTAAACCAATACTTTTAAAATTCGCTGCATGGACACCATGAAACGACAACTACAGCAGTTAATTATAATGAAATCGTGGTAATTGTTTAAAATTGCCACCGCATCTGTTTTCCGTTTTCACTAAATGCATGCAGCACTACGCTCTCCCAACGACCACTCTTCCTATGAAAGCAAATATATCCCTTTTTTCTGATTTACCACAAGGAAACTAAATTTATGTGCTCATTTAAGTGAATAACTGTGCAATATCGACTGGAACGTTTCGTTAACTACTCAAAAGGGCAATTAACCGTACGCAATCGATATTTGATATTTAGTAAATTGGGATTTTGCCTTATTTAAGATCATGTTTATGATAAAATATTATGGCGGTTGTTAAAAAGGCCAAAGATCAACGTACTGTACTGTTTACACTCGTGTCGTAAAAGGCAAAATGCAATTTAATATGTAAATGGGCGAGTAAGGGTTGAAATATTACTAAAATCTGTGAATGGCGAATATTCCATTAAGAATAAAAGGATTAGGACCATGTTTGAGTTTTCTGTTGTTCAAACGATTACTTTATGGCTTCATATAAGCAATAAATTCCGGAGAAAACTCCACTGCGAGATAATACATGGCGTCTAGCATTGTAAAAGGAAAAAGGGGAAATTTATTTTCATTTCGCTTTGTGACATAGGCACATATGTGGTTAATAAGTAAAAAAAGACTTCTCCATACTCGTAAAATAAATCGTAAAAACTTTCAAACGATTTTTAAATGAAATGTAGATAATGTAATGTAAATTTAATTACGTGGTTTTGTTTATTTACATTACTACCAATAAATTTATAGCAGTAATTATTATTTATCACTTATGTCATACAACATTCTTTCTGGAATGTTCTCGAGTGCTCAAGAACGCTTCAGAATGTTCTAGAGCAACAACGTCATATTTTCCGGAAAGATTGTGTCATATCCGCCTTACTGCTTTATCGCGGTTGATTAATCTTTTATGGCGCCTCGGTGTCTATCGGGATTTCTGGAATATTCGCTACACTGCTCTCCTCTTAGAACTATTGCGAGCGACGGTTGTAGCGTAGACACAGTCCCAGACAACTTGCTTTATTGCGCATATTGGATGGCGGTACATGCACCAAGACGCCCTCGTACATCTTCCACTCTTGAAAATTCACAGATTTCACAATCCATGCAACTATCGGAGACATTGGAAATGATAACCGTATAACGCCATATCCCATGTGTAAAACAAAAACAACCCTTATTCACTCGGACTAACGTAACCCTTCTGAATAATAAGCGTCGTAACATACTCGTAATACTATCAAAGGAGATGTGCGAGAATTTTAGATTGGAATTAACAAAACAATTGAGTACTATTAAGTCTGTACCGTATATGAAACCAATGAAACCATAAACATTTCCAATGTTAAAACAATCCATCGTCTTACGAATCGATTGCGGGGTTCCTCTGGGGTTAAAGCAACAGACCAATATTTCCACCCCGGTACCCAGGAATACCACCTCCAGCATGTTGCGCACGATGCACCAGCCCCACTAATCAAGGTCACATCCAATCTTCCGAATTGACAGCCTTGTAACGCCATGCAAGTGTAGTATACAGGGCGTTTCCATTAGAAGGTTGCTTTCTACAAAATGTTTACGGTTTTCATTGCGTTGTTAATAAAATTGGCGATCTATATTTTATGAGTCAATAGACTCCGTATGCGCCATGAACGGTTAATGGCTTGTGAAACTGACTGGCGACAGTCTGACCAGCGATCAAGTAATGTTAATATTTTTTACGTGCCCGAAACAGCTCGGTCAGGATTGCTCATGCGGGTTGGTGTGCGATATTAAATGCCCGTGCGCTTTTGATGGATGATCTTTGTGCGCACGTGGTGGGGCTCAACGAATCATTTTTCACGATTCAAGATGTCTGCGATTTGCACCATTTTATGGGCGGTCTTGGTAAGTCGGAAAGGGTAGGGAACGGTCCAGGGCATTCGTCTTTGGGCCACGACAGCGTGGTGGTTAATTAATTAATTTGTACAAGGTATTTAAATCTCCATCGTTTTCAATCGCAAATACTTACGGCAATCTTGAATTTAGTATCATTTGTTGAGAGAATACAATAAAAAAATCAGCCATCCCGTCACGAGACCATAGTTCCATAGTCACGCAGTTCAATACAAGGCGCTTAAATCTAAGGGAAGACTTGCTAAGCTGCGCATCGAGAAAGAAAAATGGGGGTCGGTGCGCCTACTACATTACAATTATGGTAAAGATTCGCTTTATATCCAGTCAATCGAGTTTTTCAGATAGAATTGGGTTTTCTTTTAAATAAATTTCTTTACAAATCAGATATTAATAAAGAAATCTTAAGGATTCGGTCGTAAAATTTAAATTTATATAGTGTGTAATTTTTTTGTATTAACTCAGAAAAGAGCAAGTTTTCGTTTTGTTTGAAAGTACATTTAATTAATGAAGTTTTTACTGAGTTGAAAAACTAGTTCATACGGGTCAAATGAATTTGTAAACGAGGGCTTGTAATTACCCTCATATTTCTTTCAATCTAGGGGATAGTAAATTAAATTGAAATGGGAAACCAAGTGGCCACTATGAAAACGCAGTTGTAGTACCCATATTTGCCTCTTTAAATTTAACATTGAATTTAATTTTTAATGCAGAAGGTTGTAAAATGAGCAAATTTTCAATTGGACAATATTTGACCTAATATATGTAAATATTTAAAAGAGTCGTATTTATTTAGGTCTATTTACCTGAGTAAATTGCAGCAAAGTATTTTAGTAAAGAGAGCTAGCCGTGGCGCCGGGCAATTAATATCTTTGAAACACAAATTCCCCATTGTAATTCAAACTTTATTTTAATTCTTAAGATTAATATTATATATTTATATCCCTATTCCAACCCTGTGCGCGAACGGGGAATAAATGTTTCCAGTGCAGAAGCGTACTGCATGTGGGAAGAGTGTGTTAATCAAATGCATCAATGCAATTCTAACACAATGCGTGTATACGGGCATCAGATTGACTTTACGGATTGTGATGTTTCTATACTTTTGCTCTTCTATGTTATTTGAATTTATTTGAAAGCGACTTCGGTCTGCCCAACACATTGAACAGGGGTAATGCTGTGCTACGGATTCCGGCATGTGAATTGAGATTGGATGTGACCAAGGCAGATTGTTTGTATATTTCGGGCACCATGTTAGATATACAGGGTGACAATTTGAAAACTTACCACCCCCCATATCTTAGTAAATAAACGAGATATTTAAAAAAATCAAAATCCGTTTCGGTAATTCGGAGGGGGAATCACAATGACCTAGTTGGCGACGCACCCCCTCACACCCCCTGCGCCCTAGCCACCCCAACTTTTAAATCTTAAATAGGGACTCTCCATGTGTGATACGTCATTGGAAAGTTCTGAAAAAATGCTTTCCAACCATACCAAATAGCATTACATTTAGGTCAGTAATTATCGTGCAAATCAAAAAATAAACATGGAAAATCGTATTTAACTTGAACTTCCAAAGCCGACTCGACAGCAACTCATTTTTGATCGCCAGTTATAATCTATTCTCAAACTCTTGTCGAACCTTTTCAAATGTTGGTTTTGCAATATTTCGGCATTCTTGAATTATTCTCTGTCTTAGTTCGTCTATGTTCGCCGGTTGCGTTTTAAATACGACAGATTTCAAATGTATCATATTAGTTTATTTTTTGATTTGCACGATAATTACTAACCTAAATGTAATGCTATTTGGTATGGTTGGAAAGCATTTTTTCAGAGCTTTCCAACGACGTATCACACATGGGGGGTTACTATTTAAGATTTAAAAGTTGGGGTGGCTGGGGCGCAGGGGGTTGGAGGGGGTGCGTCGCCAACTATGTCATTGTGATTCCCCTCCGAATTACCGAAACGGATTTTGATTTTTTTAAATATCTCGTTTATTTACTAAGATATGGGGGGTGGTAAGTTTTCAAATTGTCACCCTGTATAATATAACGTTGTGTAGACTACGTCATGCAGACGTTATTTTGGCTTC